CCTCTGCCCTCTCCCTCTCGTGCTCTCTGTCTCTCATTCTCTCTCTCTCAAATAAATAAATAAAATCTTTAAAAAATAATAAAAAAAAAGAATTCAAAATTTAACATGGAATAATAGTCCAATCTTTTGGTTCAACTGGACCCTTTCAAAATTAGTTGGCTAGCGAAATTAAGGAAAGAGAAGGATTATTTCTATCACTGTCATACCAGATAAAATAAAATGAATCCAGTCCCCAAATTCAGGATTTCTTACTATCATTATATGAAGTCAAAACCTGAAAGTTATCAGTGAGTTTTCAAAATTCATTCTATTAATCATGATTAAAAGTTCTTCCCTTATGAGAAACGGTTTCTTTCATTAACTGGATAATATAAGGAAATACTGAAAAAAGCAAAAGTTGGAAAGAGCTAATGCCTTTGCCCTACTTATTAACCACTTTTTTCATACACAATAGAGCCAAACTTAAAGAATTACTCTATTCACATTAATTTAGTAACTGTTATTTTAGAAATCATTTTTCAAATGAAGTTTTTAAACTGTGGGGACATTGACTTGAAACACAGCAATCAACAGTAATACAGACAGCAAAATAAAAGATGGTGACAGGGACAAAGCACGCTGTAGTAATGAGCCAAAGAAGCACATGGATTACAGATCTCTGCACCTGTCTTCCTACGGGCTCTCTGTCTGTTGTTCCCTGCACCTCTACACACCAAGGCTCACTTATCCACCAAGACTGGGATATCTCGAGGCCAGATGGCATGTGTGTCGTGGATACTACTCTATCTCTCAGTGTTGAGCTCAGAAGCTGGCAAATACTAAGTGCTCAAGCTTTGGATAAAGAATACACAGAAAGATTATTCAATATGCTACATAAATTTAGGTGTCACGATTTTCTAAATTCAGCCACTTGCCAACAGACGTACAAAATTCAACCGATCATAATGAAAATCTGGTTACATATTACGTTTAAGGGCAGAGATCCTGCCTACCTCATCCTTATATCCCAAATAATGACAGAACAATGCCAAATACAAAGTAAAAACATAAAACCCTCATTATATTTATTTATTCAATGGTGATAAGTATTTTCAAAAACCTGAAGCCATTAAAACATTAAAGTGGAATAAGTGTGTGTGCCTGGGGTGGAGAGGAGTGTAGGACAGAAATTACAGGGAGACACTTTTACTCAAATGCAGAATTCAGAACTACTGCAGCATCCACCAATGCTTAAACACAGGCTGGAAGAGACACCATCAAGAAGGTTGCGGTAATGTGGGAAGGCTAAAGATGGCGACTTGAGATTTCCAACTCCACAAAATTCAATGGCTTCCTTTTAAAGTCAGAGGATCAATATAAAACTACCTAACAATTCGAACAGCTATAACTTATATCATGCATTATTTTTAAGAAAACAATCTTACCTTTTTCATGAAACTGGTGTCTTGTCTACAAATTTTTTCTCTTTTTATCTTTAAGTCAGCTACATCTGGTATTATTCTAGAGACAACATATAATTCTTAATGAATAGCACATTTAATCATAATATCATGTCTTCTTAGGCAAATCATAGTTATACTTAGGAGTTTGAACTATTTAACACATTTCAGTGAACATTTGAAATAAGCCTATACGCAATGACACTACTGAATTACCAAGCTCAATTAAGGGGAATTCATAAATTCATCTTGACTCCTGTCATTCCTAAGTTTAAAGCAAAACCAAAATAAAATTCACGTTACTAGTAACTACTAGTAGATGAGATCTCCGAAAGTACATTAAATGACCTTCAAATATTTGCTACCTTAAATATAATAATTAAATTGTCTAATACCAATTAAATAAAACTTTGAATTAATAAAACTTAAAAATCTTAGATTAAAAAAAAATCACAATACTTGACTACATTAATGTGGGAACTTAAAAACATTATCACTAAGCCTATTTCAAAATGGCCCAATACCTGATCCCTCGAAGTTTTGCCCTATTGTCATGGCGATCCATGAGATTATGCATTACTTCCAAGACTAACTGTCTCAGTTCATAGTCTTCCATGAGGGATGGTGATAACAAAGGATCCAGAAAAGATCCAGGCAGTGCAGTAACAATTGTCTTTGCTTTGTATCCAGAGGTTACCTGATTATAGGGAGGAAAAACAAAGAAACAAAAAAACCTGTCATGAGTCCTTCTTTGGTAAAATTCTCAAACCGTTTTATAAAAACCATAAGCTTAGGGAAACAGCAAGTATGAACATAAGCCTGAATGAAAAACAAAAAGGAAATTTATAAGGTAATGAGGATTTTGTGGCACCTGGGTGATGCTGCCGGGTTAAGTGTCCGACTCTTGGTTTCCTCTCAGGTCATGATCTCAGGGTCATGAGATCGAGCCCCATGTGAGGCTCTGTGCTCAGTGTGGAATCTGCTTAAGATTCTCCCTCCCTGGGGCGCCTGGGTGGCTCAGTCGTTAAGCGTCTGCCTTCGGCTCAGGTCATGATCCCAGGGTCCTGGG